TATGGAATGATAAGTTTTTGTAATAGCAATATTGATTATTGTTTACTTGTCAAGTTGTTGTCATGTCAAAATTTTATAGTACCAAATCAAACAGTGACGGATAGTAGTGCACTTATCCTCATGAAATTTTGGATCCGCCTCTGACATAAATCCTTTAAGTTCACAACAAATATCTGATAGTAATATTAAATTTATATTGGGAAGGGTTAATTAAAATTAATAAGATATTAGCCATATGTTTGCAATGTGTTACCTTGGATGTTATTGTACAAAAAATTATTCACTAATATCAAAATTTAAATAGTTTAATTCAAAGTTCTAAAATAATTCCACTGTTAAAAAGTAAAAAGTCTTTCTATCTTTCTTAATAAAAAATTTGTACTTTTTTTTTTCTATTGCATATTTTTTTTACAAGTCACCCCTTGAGCCACCCTTCCTACGTCACTTCTTGTGGCTGCGATAGACTCATCATCATCATCAAGATCAACAACATCAATTACATGAGGCCCAACCCGAAGAAACCAGAAAAACAATCATTAGAAACAAATTAAAATCCTAGACATGCAATTAAGAGTTGGAGAAAGATTAATAAGTATTGGGAAGCACCATGGATATCTTTCCATCAACACATCTGACCTCGATATTACCATCTTTGAGTCCAGTGATATTCTCCCAAGGGATACGAGTACCACCCACTTTTTCTGGTATAGAAACAGGTGACAAACCAATAACAAGTCTCGGTAGCCACAACAAAACACATCCATTTGGTATACACTTAGGACCTCCTCTTTTTCGAACTCCCTGGTGAGGTCCTCTGCCCTCGTATCTAGCTTCAACCACTTCATCCATGAGCCTTCGAAGAGTCCATGACCCTTTGTTTGCTTTATTGGAAACTAATGATAATGATACTAGAAGTGAAGGAACTAGATACCAGTGACCTAGTTTCCAGTTTAAATGAGATAAACAAGTGAACTTTTTCAAGTTCTTTGGGTCTTGTAGTACGATAAAGCAGGGTCAAGTACAATAGATGTAGCCCAGTTGATTAACAGAACTAGCAGTAACTGCAACAAAACATACATTATTTTCCCGTTCTTACACGCTCACCTATATAATAGTAATGAAGTCCATTATCTTATTTGTCAAACCATCTGGTGTAAGACTGAAGGTGTTAGCCTTCTTAATATTACTTACAGTATGATCATCAAATAGAAAATACGGACATCATTCAGAACAAAAATGATCTTACCCAACAAAGCCCCAAGGACCACATAGTCACCAACTTTAGGTTCTCTCACACGTTTTCAGTTCCCTTTATGGTCTGTTGCCATAACATAACAAGTTCTTTGGGTCTTGTATTGGTAAATATATTGATCAAAGCTCTTTGTCGCTAATCTCTTTATCATTCTCAATGATCTCCCTTTCATTATGTTCAATTGATTCCAAGTCAACTGTATCACAATGGAGGCTTGACAAAATTAGAGGCCTAAAGTCAAATTTAAATACGAATCAATTTTGTTTGGTATTTTTGTTTATAGCGTAATATTTTTTTAGACGTAATGCCTTTAAGTTCACAACAAATATTTGATAGTAATATTAAATTTATATTGGGAAGGGTTAATTCAAGTTAATAAGAATAGCCATGTGTTTGCAATGTGTTACCTTGGTTGTTATTGTAAAAAAAATTATTCACTAATATGAAAATTTGAATAGTTTAATTCATGTTTCTAAAATATTTCTATTGTTAAAAAATACAAAGTCTTTCTATCTTTATTAATAAAAAATTTGTACTTTTTTTTCTATTGCATAATTTTTTTATAAGTCGCCCCTTGAGCCACCCCTCCTACGTCATTTCTTCCGATTGCGGTAGAATCATCATCATCTTCAAGATCACGTCATTTCTTTCGATTGCGGTAGAATCATCATCATCTTCAAGATCAACGACATAAACTGCATGAGGCCTAACCTGAAGAAACAAAAAAAACAATCATTAGAAACAAATTAAAATTCTGGACATGCAATTAAAAATTGGAGAAAGATTAATAAGTATTGGGAAGCACCATAGATATCTTCCCATCAACACATCTAACCTCGATGTTACTATCTTTGAGTCCAGTGATATTCTCCCGAGGGATACGAGTACAACCCACTTTTTCTGGTACAGAAACACGTGACAAACCAACAACAAAGTCTCCGTAGCCACAACCAAACATAGCCAGTTGGTATACACTTAGGACCTTCTCCTTTTCAAACTCCCTAATGAGGTCCTCTGCCCTCGTATCTAGCTTCATCCACTTCATCCATGAGCCTTCGAAGAGTCCCTGGCCCTTTGTTTGCTTTCTTGGAAACTAACGATAATGATACTAGAAGTGAAGAACCAGATAGCAGTGACCTAGTTTCCAGTTTAAATGAGATAAGCAAATGGACTTTTTCAAGTTCTTTGGGTCTTGTAGTAGAGATAGAGCATCAATTCCAGCAGATGTAACCCAGTTGACTAAACAGAATCAGCAGTAACTGTAGCTAAACATACTTTGTTTCCATGTTCTTACACGCTCACCTATATAATAGTAATAAAGTCCATTATCTTGTTTTTCAAACCATCTGGTGTAAGACGGAAGGTGTTAGCCTGCTTAATTTTTCTTATAGTATGATCATCAAATAGCAAATACAGACATCATTCATAACAGAACTGATCTTACCCAACCAAGCCTCAAGGACCACATAGTCACCAACTTTAGGTTCTCTCACACGTTTCAATTTCTTTGATGGCACGTTCCAATAGGTCTGTTGTCATAACATAGAAAATCAATATATTTACCTATACAAACCACATGTCTTAACTGATACGTTGATTTAGAAGATGAAGCGACAACATCACCAAGTACAAATTTGTCATCATGTAGAAATTCTCTTCCAGCACCAAGTCTTCTACATTCTTCGGTGGTCGTTGGATCGCTCTTGTAGTTACCATAATTTTTTTCCCATGATAATTTTCCTTGACATTTTCAATACTGTTATCAGAGAGTTTCTATAAATTCTGGAGAAACTCTTCTGAATCATTTTCTCCGGCCCCATTTGCTAAAGTATCTATTTGCTACATTCATTTTTTTGTTTTCTGTGCGCATAGCATTATGGGAAACATCATGATCTAGGCCAAATTCCATGTAAAAAATACACACAAGAAGACTATAATAAGAAATTCTTTTAAAAGCACCCACAAGAAGACTATAACAAGAAATTCATCAAACAAGCCACACAAAGAAGACTAGCTAGCTATTAGAAGAAATTCATCCAAAAGCACCCACAAGAAGCTAAGGCTATAAGAAAAACATCATATTAACAAACCACACAAGAAGACTGTAAGAAATTCATCTAACAGTTGGTTCACTAAAATTTTGGAAAAGAACCCCTAGTTTATTCTTTTCTATTATTTTCAATTTATATATTTTAATTAATACGTAATCTCATTACCACTCTAACTAATTTAACAGTTGAGGGAGGCACTTGTAACCTAATTTCCCACCACGAGGCTACTTTCAAAATTCGTCATTTTTTGTGCTCTAATGCTAAAGAGATAAAGATGAGGATAACCTTCTTGGATTTCAAAATTACTTGCAACCTAAACAGTTTAGAGCTATTGTACTGGCAGAGGCGGATTTACAGTGTAAAATATGGTTCACATGAACCCGTGGTCCTCCAGTTAAAATATATATGATATACATAATTTGGAAAAAAGTACATATATATATTTGATGGAACCCGTGGTCAAAAGAGGTGAAGTGGTGCATTGGTTTCTGCCCCTTATTTCCAGTTGCCTAAGGACACAATATCGATTCCAATTTGTTATTTTAACTTTTTACTTAAATATTTCTTTTCTTTCTATTTCTACCAACACAGCTTTTCCTTAAATATTTCTTTTCTTTCTATTCGTGTTAACGCATATTTTCTTTATGTTCTTTAAACCTCTAAAGCACTTCCCAGTTCCCGCACGCTTGGAGTTTTTCTCGATTTCTCTATTTGATATCAAAGACAAAATTATCAAAGATTGCGGAAGTACTGGTAAGTTTTCATTTTATTTTAATTTAAGTTGTACGGGGTGTGATTCCCCTATTTTATTATGAATTTGAAAGGGTGTGATTCCCTTATTTTTTGAATACGGAAGAGGTGTGATTCCCCTTTTTATTATAAATTTAAAAGGGTTTGATTCCCCTATTTTATTACGAGATTGTATTTTGATTATGAGTGATATTTAAATTTGTAGGAAAGTTTAACATTAAAATGGATAAATTTGTGATCAGATTAGATGTTGGCCAATCAGTTCTAGTTGTTGTAGTCGGCCATCTGTTATCAAATATATCTCCTGAAATCCAAAGAGAGGAAATTTCATCTCCTCCTTCAAATGTTGATGGTGTTCTTGAGTTGGGATCTCCCAATCCTGATCCAAAAGAAAGAATACCGATTTTTCTGTATGCCCCAAATATTCGAGATGAAGTGAGGAAACATTATATTCAGCAAGGGCCTTGTCAACCTAGTGGTCATGCTTTCCCTAAAATTAAGTTTGGGAACAAAATGCATCAATTTAATCCCGATTGGTTTAAGGGTCCATATTCACAATGGTTGGAATATAGCATAAAAGCTGATGCTGCGATTTGTTTGTGTTGTTATTTGTTTAAGAATGAACTTGAAAGTCGTGGTAATGCGGGGGATGCATTTACAAAAGATGGCTTTAAGGGTTGGAACCAGGGTATGGAAAGACTTAGAATGCATGTTGGTGAAGTAAATAGTATCCATCACAAATGTTTTAACAGAATGCAAGATTTGAAAAATCAAGAACAATCGATTCAATCTTCTTTTCCCAAGCAAAGTGAGAAAGCAAAAAGTGATCATCGATTCGCTTAAATGCATCGGTTGATGTGGTAAGATTTCTCTTAAGAAATGGATTGTCATTTCGTGGTCATGATGAGAGTGAAGATTCCGAATATAAAGGTTTTTTTCTTGAACTTATGGAATTTCATGGGGATAAGCATTCGGATGTGGGAAAGGTAATATTAAATAAAGCTCCAAAAAATGATATGATGATTTGTCCAGCAATTCAAAAGGATATTGTAGATGCTTGTGCTAAAGAAACAATTAAAGCTATCATCAAAGACTTGGATGGTGATTTCTTTGGGATATTAGTTGATGAATCAAAAGACATCTCACATAAAGAGAAAATGGCCCTAGTTATACTATATGTTAACAAAAGTGGGGAGGTGATAGAGCGCTTTTTGGGTATTGTCCACGTGAATGATACATCAGCACTAGCATTACAAATAATTAATAATTTACTTTTGGTTCACTCATTAAGTTTATCCAAGCTACGTGGACAAGGTTATGACAGAGCTAGTAATATGCAAGGAAGAATAAATGGCCTGAAATCTTTGATTTTACAAGATGCCCCATCTGCATATTGTATTCATTATTTTGCTCATCAGTTGCAATCGACACTTGTAGCTCTTTCCAAAAATTACCCGGATGTGAATAATTTTTTTGATGTTGTCACTAATGCATTGAATACTATTGGAGTATCTTTTAAACGCAGGGAATCACTTAGAAAACACCAAGCAGAGAAGCTGGAAGAATTACTTAAATCTGGAGAAATACTTACTGGGCAATGATTGAATCAAGAACGTGGACTCCAACGACCGTGTGATACTTGTTGGGGATCCCATTTTAAGACCTTGGAAAATTTCATGATTATATTTTCTTCGATTATTAATGTGTTTAAGGATATGCAACAGAATAGACCTCATTCTCTTGAGAGATTTGCAACAAAAAAATCTTTTGGGCAATATTCAGGAATTTGGATTTGTGTTTATGTTGCACTTGATGTTCAACATGTTGCTTCTTACAAATGAATTGAACAAAGCTTTATAAATGAAAGATCAAGACATCGTCAATGCTATGAGCTTGCTTGACCTTGCAAAGGCAAGATTGCAAACAATGAGAGAAAGTGAATTGAAGTCTTTGATGAATGAGGTTTACTCATTTTGTGGTAAACATGATATTATGATTCCCAAAAATAGATGAAGACTACCCAAGGTCGAAGCGTAAGAAGTCTGATGTTTCATATGCACATCACTTTAGTGTGGAAGTATTTTATGCAGTTATTGATTTGCATCTTCATGAGCTAAATAACCGTTTTGATGTAGTGACTAGTGACTTACTCCTTGGCATGGATTGCTTGAATCCGGTCGATTCATTTGCTAATTTTGACAAAGACAGAATGATTAAGTTGGCCGAGTATTATCCAAGTGAGTTTGATGGCAACAAGCTTCGAGATAATGTGTAGCATAAGTTTGTCAGAAATTTCATGTGTTACAATGGCTGTTTAAGTCATTATTTATAGCTAAACTTAGGGAATAAGGTCCTAAGATCAAACCCCTCTTAAATGACAAACGAATCGATTTAATCCCAAAATAATAAATAAACTAAATAAAATGCAAGACTTAGCATTAAAATCGAGATAAGTTAGCGGACAACTTGGTTTCGAGAGCAGGATTCCGGAGGCAGCTATAAGAATATTGATAGACAGAAGATAAAGTATTATTTAGCTTAGAATAACGTGTAGCATAAGTTTATCAGAAATTTCGTGTGTTACAGTAGCTGTTGAAGTCATTATTTATAGCTAAACCCAGGGAACAAGGTCCTAGGATCAAGCCCCTCTTAAATGACAATACTGAGGGTCATTGATGAATATGGAACGACATGCTATGAATGCCAAAATTCTCTGTGACAAATGTATTTAATGCTGAAGAATATTCTTTACTGGTGGTAAATATTTATTTGTCCATGTTGATAATGTTCCCTTCGGGATCTACCCGATACCCCGAGGTTGTTGTCCTCGGTCTTGGCTTCCACTCACTTTGTCTTCCGTCTATTCCTGGTTCCACGTGTGACTCTATCACTCGAGTACTTGATGTGAAACGATTTTATCCTATACAAATAGTTCCCCTGCTTTTCGGTGGCACGTCTTTGTGTCAGTGAAAAGTTGGTGAAGATTCCTTTCTTGGCAAGAAATTTTCTAAACCCTTCTGAAAAATTTCTAACACTTGATTAGACGCACGTCTCTCCGCATTTAATACCCCAAATACGTGTTACTCTATGATTTAATAATATTTTCGTCGGTTCTCGAGGTAATCATGGCCATGATTTTAGCCGTCTATTTGTTTACATATACGCCTCATTCTTCTTCTTTTACACTTAATAGTTATACAAACTCTCTCAACTTCTTTGCATTCAACTCTTTCATGCTTTCACTCTTCTTTAACCTTCTTCTCAAAGAACTCTAATCACCTTCCGCTTATCATGGCTTCTCCCACTAAATCTTCCAAGAACTCTGATTTTCTCTTAAGTGGGGGTCCGAAGGAGAACAAAGATAAAGAAATCAACGTTGATGCTTACCCCCCTACGGTGAGCACCATCATGCCCAAAAGACTCAACACAGCCAAGGACTTCGAAGAGAAGTTTCCTTCTTCAAGTTCCCGCACTTGGGTTGTTGGCATATACCCTTCTTCCATCCACTCTTCCAGCATTTATGCTGTGAAGGAGGATTGTGATTGCCATAATCTGAACATTATTGCTCCCGAACTGGTGGAGCAAGTAACCTTCTCTAAGAAGGTCTTCATCTACGTTTATACGTATCCATTTACTTTGGGTGCATTTTCTTTGAGCGGGGGGATTGACCCCGTAATTTTGGAAATGTGCCATAAATGCCAGGTTTGCTTGGCACAAGTGGGCCCTTTTGTATGGTGTACAGTGGCCTGTCTATGGCGACTGTGTTAGGAGACGAAAGAGGAGCTCACCTTAGCTCGCATGATAAATCTCTACTCCCCCAAGATTTTTCGCGGGGAGTAATAAATTTCGGCAAACATGGCCACCATGCTTTGCTCACCAGCATGGATAACGACAACGACCATGGATGGATGTAGCAGTTTGTTATTTTTTCCACCAGAGATATCCTCCCGACCACAACTCCATCTTTCCCTGAGTTCCGGACTCGTACACGTAAGTTCAAAGTCTATTATTTTTTCTGAAAATAGGTTGTTTCATATCGTTATGATCCTTCTCTTTTCATTATTTCAGCAACTCGATGGACACCACCAAGGGTTGAAGGCTTGGACCAGTGGGTTCAGAAGATTTTGAACATCACCATGCTTGAGACCCGTCGGTGAAAAGAACTAGCCCCCAAATATGGGTGGAAGGCCAAAAATCATGGTAAGTTGACTCATGAAACTGATTTTGTCCTCATCTCATTTTTGTGCATAGGAAAATTGGTTAACCTCTTTTTTATCATTGTATTCAGGTCTCCCGCGGGGCTCTGTTACCATCCCTGAGGAGGATGTTTTGTCTTATCCCGCGGAGGCTTCGAGGTTGCTAAATGAGACTTTCACCCGAACAGGCGCCATCAGATCTGCTTCCGGTGCAAGTGCTTCCTCTCGGAGTCCCCGACCAGAGAACAAGCAACCAAAAATGTCACGACCCAAAATCTATTAAAGGTCGTGATGGCACCTGACACCACTGTCAGGCAAGCCAACACTAAATAGTTATTTAAATCCTCAATTTAGTATCTTCGAAATCATAAATTTTCCTTCAATTTAGCTAGTAAAAGATGAACTTTGAAGACTAATAATAACAACGTTTTCCAATTTCAATACTAAATATCCCTCCATTATCCCAGAACCCGGTGTCACAAGTGCATGAGCATTTACTAGGAAATAAAATAAAATTCAATAACTGTCCGGAATACAAATTTTGACAGAAAAGAAAATACCAATACTCTGAAGGAGACTCTGCTGGCTGCGAATCGTCTCATAAGATGCAGCTCACCTAAATCCCCGTATCAACCACGCCACTGCGCCCACAATGCCACTAAAAATGTACAGCAAGTGTAATATGAGTACGAAAACAACGCGTACCCAGTAAGTATCCAGTCTAATCTCGAAGAAGTAGTGACGAGAGGTCGACTCCGACACTTACTATAGCCAATAATAATATATCGGTAATATGATAAGTCATGGGTTTTATAAGACGACTACATACTCAATAACATGAAGCAGGTAAACAATTCTTTTGTTAATTGGAGATTTTATTTTCATATTTTAACAATTTATCTCCAGAAAATGAGGCCACATCAATCATCAATAACTCCAAAACAATCAATTAAGTCATGCCCAATCATGCCGAGATCGTACGGCCCGATCCAACATAATATTAAATTGTGCACTGTCGTAGGGTCGAATGGCACGAACCATAGATGCATCTATTTAATCTACCGAGGCGCTCGTCCTGTTCCACAAAAGGAAAACACAATCAAATAGTCAATCAAGTATTAATTCAAGGAGCATTTATCCAAGGGAATGTCCATCCTCTTTTAACGATCAAGAAAAATGAAGTTTAACCTTTTAGAAGTTCATTTACCAATTCGGTATAATTTAAGCATTTTAACCTTCCATCGTGCCAAGTTTGTAGGATCCTTTGACGACAACACCGAGGACTCGATACGGTCCTTCCCAATTCGGCCTCACTATTTTGTTCCCGAGGCACATGATCTAGCGTCCATTCCTTGAACCGGTGTAAAGCTACCTGTAGTTTATCCAAATACTGTTGCATTCTATCCTCTCGAACTTCGAAACTTTTGTTTACTTGGTTTACCACCAATAGAGAATCGCACTTAGCTTCGATGACTTCTGCTCCTAAGCTTTTAGCTAGCTCGAGACCTGCAATTATGGCCTCATACTCGGCCTCGTTGTTAGTCAATCTAGAAGTTTTAATAGATTGTCTAATGGTATCACCTGTGGGTGGCTTCAAGACTATGCTAAGTCCGGACCCCTTCACATTCGAGGGACCGTCTGTGAAAAGAGTCCATACCCCCGATGATGTACCCGAACTTAGTAAGAGTTCTTTCTCCACTTCGGGTACGAGGGTCGGCGTAAAATCAGCCACGAAGTCAGCTAGGATCTGAGACTTGATGGCCGTCCAGGGTTGATATTCGATATCGTACCCACTAAGTTCGACGGCCCATTTGGCCAATCGGCCCGATAGCTCGGGCTTATGCAAAATATTTCGAAGAGGGTAAGTGGTTAATACACATATAGGATGACATTGAAAGTATGGTTTCAGCTTTCGAGATGCGCTTATTAATGCGAGTGCTAATTTTTCCATGTGAGGGTACCTAGTTTCAGCATCCCCAAAAGTTCGACTTACGTAATAAACAGAAAATTGCGTACCTTGCTCTTCTCGAACTAATACCCCACTTACCGCAATCTCTGACACAGCCAAATATAGGTAAAGTTTTTCGTCTGCCTTTGGGGTATGAAGCAAAGGCGGGCTTGATAAGTATCGCTTTAGTTCCTCCAAGGCTCGTTGTCATTCCGGGGTCCATGCAAAATCCTTTTTCTTTTTGAGCAGGGAGAAGAAACGGTGACTTCGATCGGACGACCTCGAAATGAATCGACCCAAAGCAGTTATTCGCCCTGTTAGCCTTTGCACGGACTTCACGCTGTCCACGATCGTGATATCCTCAATGGCCTTGATCTTATCGGGGTTAATCTCGATACCCCGATTCGACACCATGAAGCCAAGGAACTTACCCAAGCCGACTCCGAAGGCACACTTC